TTATATTGTCAAAATTCCAGGAAAAGAGAATAAAATATCATCCAGGATCTGAGAAAAGGTCCCCTTTGTGACCTCTTTGCCATCCCTGGTTCCTTTCTAGATGATTCAGAGTGATGATCAGGAAGCAACTGCTTGCTATTTGAGGCCAGTGCAACATTCTGAACTAAACCCACTATATTCTTGGGTCTCCATTCTTCCAGAACAGAGCAGTGTCATGATTGTGGTTCAGAGAGTACACAGCACACACTAAAGTCCAATGACATAATTTCCCAGAAAAGGACGGTATTCAGGAGAAGTGCCGAACCCACTTTGGGAGCACGTCTCACCGTGCCGGGCAGTTGCTCTAGTTAGTGACCAGTAAGTGAACCAACATGTCAAGCTTGGACACTGCTTTAGTTAAAACCTGTTTGGAAGCCATGTGTGCCTTGCCTAACTTCCATGTTCAGTGTCTTTCAGTAGTGATTGGACAGTATATCCTTTACTCAACAGTTCTATCAAAAAAGCATGAATGTATTACACACTTATGGAGACGGCTACAACAAATAGGCAACACAAACACACACACAAATATACACACACACAAACACAAACATAGAATATAAAATTTATAACTGTAGTATATTCTGTCTTTCCCAACTAAAACTTAATTCAAAGAAACAAGCAAATTGTTTTATAAAAACATTTATGAGTTTATGACTTCTATTTTTTTAAGGATTTTTCTAACAATAACTAGCTAAAACTAGAACTACACTGAGCATGTACCGAGGTCCAGCCTGCTGGATGCTATTCAGTCATATTGTCTACTGGATAGCTGTTTGTCTCTGATACCTACTTCCTTCTTCGTTCCAAAGAGGTGGAGCTTCACTTTCTCGGGAGACAAAGAAACCGCTGTTCCTGGACTAATACAAGGAACTGTGAAGGGAGGTATAGGTAGGAACAGCCCCTGCCAGCATCCATAACCATGACAAAGGACAACATCAGGGCTCACTCTACTCCAATTTCTTGTGAAATGTGTTTTATTATTATTGTTCCTTAAGGGCCTCTCAACAATGATGCATTTCTTTCCATTGTCATTGCTTACAAAGATCACTATAAAAAGGGGTCCAGTCCTTAATTTTTAAAACATCAAATTCTGGTTAAAATCTAATCTGAAAAGTAGACCTACATTTTTAGTGTACGACTCATGCTTGAGGTACAGCTGAACCCCTAGATGAGTGGGTTAGGGTCTTTGCATCTATTGTGTATTGTCTTCATTCAACAATGATTATAATAAACCATCCTATGAACTGTGAAGTGGATTTGAACTGCAGCCTTATGGCTCCCAAACTGGCGAAGAGTTACTAAATGAATTTATGCTGTGAAACAGAAGTGGCTACATGCTCCCAAATCCCCATTTTTGCACAAATGATGAGCTGTTCTTAGACATTTATTACTCCATCAGCCTCTGTGATGGACCGTGGCACCTCTGGACCATTTGTTATGAGCTGAAGATGGGCTTGTACAGCTGTGCAGTCCAATAAGGTAGTCTCCAGTCACATGTTACTATGTAAATTGAGATTAATCATATGTATGGTAAACCAGATCTTCAGCTGACAGGCAGCATTTGAAGCACTCGGGGAGCTTACCCGCCTCGTGGCAGCCGTACTGGGACATACCAGTTGGGACCCTGCCCTGTATATGGCCATGCTGCTCAACAGGTACTAGTAAGGCTGGCATCCTGGGAAGGCCAAGTGATGGAGGCTTTTAAACAAATGGAAACAGCAGGCTGTGTTAAATTCACATTTCGGTGCACAGTGAAAAACAGGACTTACTGCTTCAGAGAATGCAAAATGCCATTGCCTCATTCTCCTTCCCCTTCTCCTTGTTAAAAATTCCCAAAATCTCACCAAAATCCTTCTATATGCCTATTTTTGAGTTGGACACCTTTGCTTTTAAAATGTCTAGAGGTAATATGGCATTTTCCCAAATTTCTACTGAATTGAGTGCCATTTGAGGAAGCTATTATTAACATTCAACAGAATTAGTACTCTCAGATTAGACATTCCGAAAGATCAACAGAAAGGGAAGGTGTTTATAAACTATACCTTTCCTGGCTCACACATCATTCAAATGCAGAGATACTGAGTAATTTTCCTATTTTATTAGTTAATTGGCTTATTAATTGAGTTAGTTCCTTTTAAAATTATTTTTATCAAAAATACAAGTGAGTTGCATTTACATTATTTCTACTACTCCCTCTCCATGCTCCAACTCTTCCCGTGTGTCACCTCTTAAATTTATGGCCTCTTCTTCTTTAATTAGAATTGTCTTACACAGAGAGAGAGAGAGACAGAGAGACAGAAAGAGAGAGAGAGAGAGAGAGAGAGAGAGAGAGAGAGAGGTGGGGGGAGCGGGAGCCAAGTCCGTCCATGTTGCTCATATGTACACGTATTTAGGGATGACCACTTGGGAGCGCACCATCTCTCGGGGAGCTCACCCTGGGAGAAACCTGATTCTTCCTCTCTCAGCAGCCTGTAGGTCTTCATCTAGAGCTGGAGCCTTGTGAGATTTCCTCTATCTGCATTGACATGTTGGGACGTCAACTTGTGTGATCATTTTGCAGATCATGTTTAGGCAGCCTCATTGTTTAGATTTCATCGGTGCAGCGTCCCTCATTATCTCCCAGTAGATGCCCTGTCTTGGTGCTCTGGCTCTTAAAATCTCACCACTCCTCTTCAGCAATGATCCTTGAAACTAAAGTATAGGGGCTACATTGTAAATGTGCTAAGTGGGGCTAGGAACACCACAGTCACTAATTCTATGAATATTCACTCTCTGTGGGCCTTTATAGTAGCCTCTATCTACTGTAAAAAGACACATAAAAAGTATGCATCCCTTGAGAATTTCATACGTGCATACACTGTTTTAAAATCATACACACACGCCTCACTCCTGTCCTTATTTGCCCTCTACTCTTCTCAGATCCTAATATACTCCATCCAACTTCAGGTCCTCTTCTCATTTTGAAATCCAGCCAGTACCATTAGTGCTGTCTGTATAGGCATGAATATATGGCCATCCACGGGAGCATAGACAGCCTCCCAGGGCCACACCCCTAAAGCAAAGAGACTCTCCATTCCTCAGCAAATCTCCTGGGTGGAACCTTTGGATGTTAGGTCCCATTCGTGCTGGGACTGACTTTAGCTCACTAAGGTCGTCTGCAGGCAGCCACCGCTGCTGCGAGTTACTGCTGCAATGGCCCTGGAGTGTCCAGAAGGCACAATTGCATTGCACTCCTCCCTGTTCCCTGACTCTTCCCATCTTTTGCTCCTTCTTTCGTAATGTTCCGGAGCTTTGAGAGAAGGTGGGTCCCGCACAGCTGAGCACTAAGCCGGTCACAATGACTTATTCTTTACATTCTGACTCGTTGTCTGTCTCCATATCAACTTCCCATTTGCTGCAAAAAGGAGCAACAGCTGCACTTCAATTAGCTATATTTATCAGTATTTATTAAAGTATGCCATGTGGTAATGCCATCAGTAATGTATTACAGGGTGATTTTTAGTTCCATAGAAGACGTAGCAAAGTGTTTTATTGTAAGCAGGGCACTCCCCTAAACCTTAGTTTCCCACCATTATCTTCCTGTATGAAGCTCTCCCACACCACTTACTAGCTGGGTACCACGGTGCAGAGATCCTGGTTAACATAGCAGAGCCTCAGAAGGAAGTTGTCTGTGGGCTTGTCAGAATTTTTACATCAGTGCCATCTACCTCCCTTGGCAAACTGTCAGAAATCCTGGCTCCAGGACCTACTTCAGACCCCCAGAACCAGATGGTCTGCCATTGTTGGTTTTCATTGTTTGGTGGTGACTCAGTCACCTAGAGAGCTTGTCCAAAGAGAGGGAGCTTGGCTTCCAGTGGGGTTCCTGTTCTGTTCAAGGTAACTGTGCTGTTGCTAGAATAGACAGCACCGTCTGAAAAGTCACAGCTCTTAGTGGTTCTTGTGTGTGTTGGGCTTTGAAGTCTCCTGGGAAGCGGGTGGCTTGCCTATCGCTTAGGTCCTACCTTTATGTTTCTGAATTAAATGTCTAGGGTAAGTCGTGGCTGCTCTAAAATGTATTGGAAGTTCCTCTGGAAATTTTTATCTACAATTCAATTTAGGATGTTATGTACCATACTCAGAATTACTGCTGGGGGAGAAGCTCCAAGCTTCTCTGGGTGAGACTGGACCACAACCCTGGGGCCCAGGGTAATAAGAAAGTTCTGCAGAGCTTGTACGTTCTTAAAACTGTCAAGGCCAAAGCCATGTGCCAAGCTTGCGGACCACTCCTTACTCAGCAACCCCTCCTTCATGTGCGCAGCAACCGCTACTGAGGTGTCCTTTGTGGACAAGGTCCTACTGTGGTGGCTAGAGAGGCATCTTTGAGCACACACTTGGGGGTTGCCTTCTGCTTTTGCTCCTACTGTTAAGCTAAAAATGATTCCAGTTCAGCTGGGGATACATAATGCCCCTATGAAATTCATATTAAGCATACACATGGTATATAAACAAATGTGTGTGAGAGAAATACACACACCTTCCACTGAGAATGTCTCTTAACAAATGGTTTTACCCCTCACCC